ATGTGTGTGTGTGTGTGTGTGTGTGTAAATGTGTGTGTGTGTGTGTAAGTGTGTGTGTGTGTGTGTGTGTGTAAATGTGTGTGTGTGTGTGTGTAAGTGTGTGTGTAAATGTGTGTGTAAATGTGTGTGTGTGTGTGTGTGTGTGTGTGTGTGTGTGTGTGTAAATGTGTGTGTGTGTGTGTAAATGTGTGTGTAAGTGTGTGTGTAAAATGTGTGTGTAAAGTGTGTGTAAATGTGTGTGTGTGTGTGTGTGTGTGTAAATGTGTGTGTAAATGTGTGTGTGTGTGTGAAATGTGTGTGTGTAAGTGTGTTGTAAATGTGTGTGTGTAAATGTGTGTGTGTGTGTGTGTGTGTGTGTGTGTAAGTGTGTGTGTGTGTGTGTGTAAAAGTGTGTGTGTAAGTGTGTGTGTGTGCAAATGTGTGTAAAAATGTGTGTGTGTGTGTGTGTAAAGTGTGTGTGTGTGTGTGTGTGTGTGTAAATGTGTGTGTAAATGTGTGTGTGTGTGTGTAAAAGTGTGTGTGTAAATGTGTGTGTGTAAATGTGTGTGTAAGTGTGTGTGTAAATGTGTGTGTAAAATGTGTGTGTGTGTGTGTGTGTGTGTAAAAGTGTGTGTGTGTGTGTGTTGTGTAAATGTGTGTGTGTGTGTGTAAATGTGTGTGTGTGTGTGTGTAAGTGTGTGTGTGTAAAGTGTGTGTGTGTGTGTGTAAATGTGTGTGTGTGTGTGTGTGTAAGTGTGTGTGTAAGTGTGTGTGATGTGTGTGTGTGTGTGTGTGTGTAAGTGTGTGTGTGTGTGTGTGTGTGTGTGTGTGTGTGTGTGTGTGTGTGTAAGTGTGTGTGTGTGTAAATGTGTGTGTGTAAATGTGTGTGTAAGTGTGTGTGTGTGTAAGTGTGTGTAAGTGTGTGTGTGTGTGTGTGTGTGTGTAAGTGTGTGTGTGTGTGTGTGTGTGTGTGTGTGTGAAGTGTGTGTGTGTGTGTGTGTAAGTGTGTGTGTGTGTGTGTGTGTGTGTAAGTGTGTGTGTGTGTGGTGTAAGTGTGTGTGTGTGTGCTGTGTGTGTGTGTCATGTGTGTGTAAGTGTGTCCCTGCAGCTTCTTAAATCTGTCCACAAAATCCTGATCCTTCGTTCAAACTCGGTTACGAAGTTTAAAAGTCGACGCCAAAGTGAAAGTCTCCAACTGTTCACCAAGAAACACCTTCCACCACAAAGACCAAAACCACAAGAACAAACCCACGTTTATGGAGTAAGAAGCTGTCAAAAATATTTGTGCGCATAAAATAGAAATCCGTGCATATTTGGCTGTAGTTGTGCATAAAATAAATATTTGTAAACTCTCAAATGAGTCCAGTCGTACATAAAATATATTGTGTGTATTTTATCCATCAGAATACGAATTGAAAAGTTACGACGTCATGAATTACAATCACGAAATGAAAATTTACGATTACACTTTCATCAGTACGAATACGAATTCACAGACGGAACTTTACTGTCAAAAATACGTCATCACTTCACAGACATTATCCATCGAGCAGAAGAAACATCGATCAAGATCAAGACTGAGCAGCTCAAGTTTGTATCAGAGTAAAAACAGAGGAATGACACAAGAAGAAACAACAGAACAACAAGTGGGTTCATTCAAATCTATTGTAAAAATGTCTTGAATTCGGGAACCGAACGCTGCTGTATAATATTGTGTAGAAACACCTCCTTTGAACGGGAAATCGAAGAACCCTGATATTTGTTAATGATCCCTGGGAGAACGTTACGTCTGATGTTCACCAACTGACTCCACTATGTTTTCTAACATAGTGGAGCATATCAACATTCAAAGGACGTGTTTCTACACAATATCACACAGCAGCGTTCGGTTCCTGAATTCAAGACATTTTTACAATAGATTTTAATTTTTACAATAGATTTGAATGAACCCACTTGTTGTTCTGTTGTAGCTTCTTGTGTCGTTTCTCTGTTTTTTTTTTACAGTAAAATTCCGTCTGTGAATTTTTTTTTCGTACTGATGAAAGTGTAATCATAAGTTTTCATTTCGTGATTTTAATTCATGACGTTGTAATTTTTCAATTCGTATTCTGATGGATAAAATACACACAATATATTTTATGTACGACTGGACTCATTTAAGAGTTTACAAATATTTATTTTATGCACAACTACAGTCAAATATGCACGGATTTACCAAATATGCACAGATTTCTATTCTATGCGCATGAATATTTTTGACAGCTTCTTCCTCCATAGTCGTTCTCCATAAATTTACAACACGACACAAAACTGAACACAGCAGCGACTCCACAAACCTGACGTGACGTTCACTGCTTTAGTCTCCAGTGTGTTATTATAGTGCTCTCTCCTTTTTCCTTTTATTGTTTTCTCGCTCCCTCTCCTCTTTCTCCTCTCCTCTCATCTCTCCGCTCTGAAGGGGAAGTGACTCAGCGCCGAGAGCAAAGGGAGGACAGACTCAAAAAACAAAAGGAACATGTTGATCTAAACATGTGACGTGTTACGCTTCAATACTCCACAGAAGTTTGTTTGAACCATCCTCGGAGCCCTCGCCCTCCTCTTCCTCTCTCTCTCCTCTTTCTATCTCTCTCTCTCTCTCTCCCTCCTTTATTCTCTCTCTTCCTTGTTTCAAACACAATAGAAAACCTCAAACTTCTCTTCTTAATCACTTCACCCTCTCGTTTCTCCTTCAGCTTTGATCCAAACTTAATCCCACTTAATCCTGGTTCAGCACGAGTTTAGATTCCTCTCTCCTTCATCCGCCCATCATTTCATCATTCTCTCTCTCTCTCTTCTTCAAACCTCTCTTTTATTTAACACTGCTCTTTCCGTCTCTCGCTCCTCTCTTTACCTCTCTCTCTCTCTCTCTCTCTCTCTTCCCCGTTTCCTCTCGGTTCAACACAAGTTCAGATCCTCTTCTCTCTTCTCCTCGTCACTCCATTCTTCTCCTTCTCATCAATCCTTTCATTTTCTATCATTCTGTTTTTCCCTTTCTTTGTCCTTCCCTCGCTCCCTCATTTAGTTTCCTCTTGGTTTAACACAATCCTCCTCAAATGTTGGGGGAATGTGTGATCTCGAGGAACATACTTTTTTGTAATTGCACCTCCACGACAGCAGGTGGCAGTGACGCTCTCGTGGTCAGAGTGTGTGCAGGGACTTTACATGGATCCTGAATCTCAGACTTCAGGTCATCGAGCAGTTCAGACGTGTCTGTTGTCAAAGTCGATCTTTTCAATAGTTCAATGAGATTCATTTGGTCTTCCAATATTCTATGTTATTAGGTTCTTTTTCTCAGACCTGGAGTGTTATTTGATACCTGACAGTTTGGACTGGTCACTAGCGTCTTCCTCAGAGTCACGTGATAACAGAGAAAGTACAGAGGGCGATGAAAAAACACAATATGAACACAACAGTAAAACCGTACAGAAAACTCAGACAAATACTCGTCCACCCGAAAGACAAAATAGAACCGGAGCATAAATGTAACGTCATATACGAAATCCCCTGCATGTCCTGCAATAAAACACACATCGGAGAAACAGGGAGGGCGTTCAGTCCACGAAAAAAGGAACATAGAACAGAACGCGAGAAGGAAACAGCGAAGGCGAAACACGAGCAACAAAACACAAAGCAGAACAGGAACAACTCAAATCGTCCGTTTCTGACCAGTGTAAAAGAGAGAAACACGTTATGAACTGGGACGGAGGAAAACAAACATCACCGCTGGATTAAAGAAGCAATCGAAATACGTTAACGTGCCCACAGGACTGTAAACCGGGACGAGGGGCTTTTTTACTCTCACACACCTGGAACTGTCCTGAGGAAGTGGGACTGCAGGTGGCGCTGTCGTCCTGCCTCCACCGAGAGGAAGACAGAGACAAAACCTGTTTAAATCATCTGACCAGACACGACACAGAAACATCACGTGACTCTGAGGACGACGATAGTGAACAGAATAAACTGTCAGGGATGAAATACACTCCAGGTCTGAGAAAAAGAACCTAATAACATAACCTCCATGTTTGTTTTCCCAGTGGGACGTGTCTACTGACAAAGTCGATCTTTTCAAGTCTTTTGAACCATTTCACTTTTGTTTCTGGTTCTGATATTGTCATATTTTAGTTTTGGGATTGGGACATCGTCATTGTTGTGGTTGTTGGATCCAAACAGCAGAAAACGACTCCAGAAATGTGTTTGTGAACTTCATAAATGTAAAAGTGAATCAGATGTGTGTGACTCAAACCTCTGTTCAAACTGTTTCTCTTCCCAACGGAATTGAAAAATAGTGAAAGGTGAAGGTGATGGGCAGGATTGATCCACAGGAAGAACCAAAAAGGAAACATTTGTCTGACTAAGAAATCATCCCGAGTTTACAGAGAACATTTTGTATGTGGAGCCACGACAAAACAAAACCCGGTTTGTTAATGTCGAGGAGCAGAAGACAAACAGACTGAGCTGCAAATCCGTGTAAAACCACAAGAACAAGAAAGAGCGAGAATCTGTGTGTCGTTCGTTCATTTGTTTTTCAATATAAAACCAAAAATAAGAAAACAAAAAAACAACAGTTTTCTTCATTATTTGTCTCCAAAACCAAAATGAAAAAACAGATAATGATTCGTTGTTTTTTTCAGTTTTCGATTTTGTGTTTAAATGAAAAATGGAAAAAACAGATAACGACCGTTTCCTGTTTACGTGACTGTGATGCCAAACTGAACCAGGACTGAACCAGGACTGAACCAGGACTGAACCAGGACTGAACCAGGACTGAACCAGGTCCGGGGACCAGAGCAGGACTGAGACCGAGACCAGACTGGAGGCTCAGAGCCCACAGCAGGGCCGGAGCTCGAAGCTGAGGCTCAGACCCTGCGGAGGTTCAGAGTCAAAGCTCGGAGTCCACTCTGGTCCCGCTCTGGTCCCGCTCTGGTCCCGGTCTGGTCCCACTCTGGTCCCACTTTGGTCCCGCTCTGGTCCTGCTCTGGTCC